TTTGATTTCTCTTACGTTTACACACAGGCATGGAACCGCTGGAAATCAACGTGATAACTCTATTCTTTTATTTTGTTTTTCAAGACAGGGTTTCTCTGTGTACTAGCCCTGTTGCTCTGGCTGTCCTAGAATCACTCTGTAGACCAGGCTGGCCTTGAACTCATAGAGATCCACCTGCCTCTGCCTCCCAAGTGCTGGGATTAAAGGTGTGTGCCACCATGGCATGACTGATAACTTTGCTTTTAAGGTTTAAAAAAGTTTGTGTATGTTTATATGTCTGCAAGTGTGTGTGTATGTGTGTGTGTGTGCGCGTGCGTGTGCTCGCATATGTCTGTGAAAGGCAGAAGGCCACAATTCCCCTGGAGCTGGAGTTATAGGCAGTTGTGAGCTGCCTGATGAAGGTGTTGGGAATGGGTCCCCAATCCTCTGCAAAAGTACCAAGTGCTCTTAACTATTGAGCCATTTCTCCAGCACTGACAAGGTAATGGATAAATTGAGCGAGAACTATTGCATTTCCCTGCTGTGGCTGTGCCATTTTACACGAGTCATAATACAAAGTTGCTGTTTTGCTACATCTTTATCAGCTTGTTCCCTTTTATAAAAAAAAAGAGAGCCAGGTGATGGCAGCGCACACCTTTAGTCTGAGTGTTCAGGAGGCAGAGGCAGGCACATCTCTGAGTTCGAGGCCAGCCTGGTCTATAGAGTGAGTTCCAGGACAGCCAGGGCTACACAGAGAAACCTTGTCTCAGAAACAAACAAACAAACCCCAAACAACAATAACAACAAAAACTCAAAAAACAAGAACAACAAAAGAGAAAAAAGGAAAGAAAAGAAAAAAATTGAGAAAAGGTCTCATGTATCCCAGGCTGGTCTTGAACTTCCTACACACCTAAGGATGGCCCTGAACTCCTGAGCTTCCTGCCTCTCTGTTACAAGCGTTGGGGTTCCTTGTATGTTCTTTGGGGTTGGGGATTGAAGCCAAGACTTTGTGCGTGCTAGGCCAGCACTCCACAGCCCAGGCCCATCCCCCACCCCTCTTTTACTCAGAGAGGGAAGTCTCGTTTCTAATTTTTCAAAATGTATTTTTGTAGCCAGGTGGTGGCAGTGGAGGCACGCACTTTTAATCCCAGTACTTGGGAGGCCGAGGCAGGTGGATCTCTGTGAGTTTGAGGCCAGCCTGGTGTACAAAGCAAGTTCCAGGACAGCCAAGGCTACAAGGAGAGACCCTGTGTGTGTAGATGTGAGTCCCTGGAGGTTAGAAGAGAGGGCCTGCTGTCACCCTGTCACCCCCACCTCTCCTTTGAGGCAGGGTCTCTCTTTAAACTTTTCTTGGACTTGAGTAAGCCCCAGCAGTCCTCCTGTCTCCTCAGAGCTGGGTTACAGGACACCTGGTGTGTTATGTGGGTTCCGGGATCTGAACTGCGGTCCTCATGATTGTGCAACAAGTCTTCTTAACAACTGAGCTGTCTCTCTATCTCTAAATGAGAACTTTTGAGTTGGTAAAGGGTACTCAAATCAACTTTTGAGTTGAGTCGAGAGGGTAAAGGATTCCTCCTTCACTTTTAAAAGCAGTGCTCTCAGGCCACGTGGCCCCATGCCCATCAGGCCAGATGAATTGACAGGTTCCTAAGATTCTGTGCCCAGGTAGAATGGTATCCTTGGGTGGGAGCGGCAGGTCTTACACTCAAAGGTCCAGTCTTGTTCTTGACATTTGGCCCTGTACTGATGGAGATGGCAAGGGGCAGAGCTACTCACAGTTCAGTTCCAGAGACTGCCTTGATATTAGAGGGCCCATGCTCACATTTAGAAACTTTTGAGTTTTTGGCTTTTTTTTTTTTTTAGCCCTGGCTGGCCTGGAACTCACTATGTAGAACAAGGTAGCCTCAGACTCAAAGATCTGTTGCCCCTGTCTCTAAGTGCTGGGAGTAAAAGGATAGGTTGCTCTGTCTTCCAAGAAGCAGGCTTCTTCCCCCCCACCCCCCAGACATGTTTTTTCTGTGTAGCCTTGGCTGTCCTGGGCTTGCTTTGAACTCAGAGCCCCACCTGCCTCTACCTCCTGAGTGCTGGGATTAAAGGTGTGTGCCACCACCAACCAGCAAGAAGCAGGCTTTTTTTAAATTAATTTATTTATTATGTATATAATGTTCTGCCTGCATATGCACTTGCAGGCCAGAAGAGGGCAACAGATCTCATTATAGAGGGTTATGAGCCACCATATGGTTGCTGGGAATTGAACTCAGGACCTTTGGAAGAACAGCTAGTGCTCTTCACCTTTGAGCCATCTCTCCAGCACCAGAAGCAGGCTTCTTAAAAACCAAAACCTTGGCTTGGGACTGCAGCTCAGTGGCTGAGTACTTGTCCAGCATGGATAAGGTCCTGGGTTGACTTGAAACAAAAATAATTAGAGCTAGGTTGGTGGTACACAGAGGCAAACCTAGGTTACATGAGACCCTGTCCCAAAACAAAATGAAAAGCCTCACTCAGTGGGCACAGTGATTCCCCCACCTGTAATCCTGGCCTGGACTCCCCTGTGGGACAGCTCCTAGAGAAACCTGCATGCCATTAATATATAATAGGAGAGCCTCAGTCTTGGAAGATTGACACAGGAGGATGGAGGGTTCTAAGCCAGCCTGGATAACACAGTAAGACACAGCCTCTAGACAGACAGACAGACAGACAGACAGATGGACTCAAACTCGGTCAACATTTGAAAAATCATTTTGGTGTTCTCAGTTCGATTTCTGCTGAGAGTGGCTGAGCTTACCTGGATCCTGTCTGGAAAAGTTTTCTTGTCTCTTGTGTTCCACAGTCCTGTCTCACATCCCGTCTTTGACCATCAAGTCCGCAAGTGATCAGCTTTCAAAAAGGTTTGTCCCTTCCCAGAGAGACAGGCAGTGTCAGGACACAGTTGTGGCTGTGGATGTGGGAAGTGACTTTACATCCCAGCTCTGTGCTGGGTTGGACTTCTTGGCGCTGTGAGGATTGAGTGGAGTGCTCAGGTCTCTGTCACGATGTAAGATCCTGCTGGAAGCAGTCATAGCACTGAGGACAGTGGCCTTTGGCCCAACAAACTCTGTACACATTCTCTGGGCTGATACCAGCACAGTGTCTTCCTTGCATACTAAAGGTGACAGGGAATATACTCCTCATGGCCTGGCTTCCTCTTTGGGCAACTCAAATAGGTGTAATAGCGGGGCCGGGGCCATCTGTTGGTTCTGCCACTGTTCTGGTTCAGATGATGACATGTGTCCTAATCAGGTGTCTGTCACTGCGGGGAGGAAAGGGTTTATTGGGCTTACACTTCCATATCACTGTTTATCATTAAAGGAGTCAGGACAGGAACTCAGAGTAGAAACCTGTAGGCAGGAGTCATGAAGAGGCCATGGAGGGGTGCAGCTCACTGGCTTGCTTCCCATTGCTTGCCCAGTCTCCTCTCTTGTAGAATCCAGGACCACCAGCCTTGGGGTAGCACCACCCACAGGGGCTGGGTCCTCCCCCATCAATCACTAATTAAGATGACCTACAGGCCTGTTCCCTCCACTCAGACGACTTTAGCATAGGTCAAGTTCACATGAAGCTATCCAGCACAGCATGGAACTCCAGGGTAGGACGGGGTCCGAGTTGAGAGGCTTGCAGAAGACTGTGAGGGTCTCAGTTCAGTTCAGTCAGTGGGCACAGCTAGGAAAAGGACATGGGTGTGTGGTCCATGTTTCAAACACAGAGGAGATTCCTTTATCATGCTGGAGATCAGGGACCTGTGCATTGAGGGTGAAGCTTCAAGCAGCTCCCAACTCCATTCTGGGTAGCCCTGGCTATTTCGGAACTCATTCTGTAGACCAGGCTGGCCTGAGACTCACAGAGATCCACTTGCCTCTACCTCCTAAGTGCAGGGATCAAAGGTGTGCGCCACCACACCATAGTTTGTTGTTGTTGTTTTGTTTTTTGAGACAGGGTTTCTTTGTGTAGCTGTGGCTGCGGAGCCACTCATTCTGTAGACCAGGCTGGCTTTGCCTCCCAAGTGCTGGGATTACAGGCATGCGCCACTGCACCCGGCTCACACCATAAAGTTTTAAAGCCTTTATTAAAAGGCCTCTGGACAGCAACCCTCCCCAGGATAAAGAGGCTTTTATCCCACAGCATCAAACAGCTCTTTTAGGCCAGGTGTCTAGACCTACATGACGTTGTACCAAAGGCAAATGGCCCTACTTTCCATGATCACCATGAGTCTGCAGCCTGTGTGTACAAACCCAATCTACTTGACTTGGCTTTCTGAAAGATTCTCCAAGTTCTTTCCCCTGTGATATCAGTGTATATCTGTATTTGAATTAATTTTTTTTTCTTCATCCAAGGCCAGCTTTGTCTATAAAATGAGTCCAGGACAGCTAAGTCTACTCAGGGAAACCCTCTCTCAACAAAACAAAAAAAATTATTTTTCTTTAGTGACATACATTTTGTATGTGTTCGTGTGTGCGTGCATGGTCAGAGGACAATTTTCAGGAATGGGTTTTCTCCTATCATTTGGTTCTTCAGGACCTAACTCAGGTCACCAGGCTTGGATTTTTTGCTGTTGATACTAAGTGCCTCTGAGCTATGGTCTCAACATCCACCACCTGTGTGAGCCATGGCAAAAGGCAGTCTTCCTTTCAAGACTGGTGTAACTCAGCAGAACCCATTCCAAAAAAAAAAATAGTATGAGGGTCTGTGGAGCTGGCTTAGTTGGTAAAGTGTTTGCCTTGCAAGGATGGGGACTGACCTGCTTTTGACCCTGAGGATGAACAAACAAACAAAAGCACTGGATGTGGTGGCAGGAACTGGTGATCCCACCATGGGAGAGGTGCTGGGCTCACTGGCCAGCTAGCCGGGGTGGATGGGGAGAGGGCAGAAGGTGCTGAGGAACTAGACACCCATGACCCCTGGCCTCTGTATACATGCATGCACACACCTGCCTACACACACACATTCCACACCCCCCACCACACAGTGATTCAAAAGTCTTCCCCATCAAATTTTATTAGGTTAATGAAACAGCTTGAAGACAATTCATTTTGTTCAGCATTCTTCTAAAAAATAGTTCAAGTTGTAAACGAACTTCCAATACACAAAACAGAATTACTTGACAATACACAAATTTCAGCTCAAAATACAACACTCTGTTTTCTTACCATTATAAAATCCAATCAATACAAACTACGTAAAAAAGATAAAACACTTTCAATGATCCTTGGTACGAGAGAACAGGACAGTGGCGGTATTTCCGCAGGACACTCACTGGTCTAGTGCTGGGGATGAGGGACACAACCCCACGATCACCTAAAAGATCCAAGCTCTGTAAACAAAGTGCTGCTACTTAATTTAAGAAAATTAACGTATCCTTCTGCATCAGTGTTGCTTGTAAACCATAAAGTAACTTTGTAAGAAAGGTTACAAATAAAAAAAAATGATTTCTGACTTTGCTACGGACACCAGCAAAGGAAGAGAAAACCAGTTACTCCACCCAACAGATACATTTGGCCCACAAAGCAGGAGACAGGGACACCACAAGGAAATTCACAAGTTCTCTACTTTTCTACTGAATTTGGATAGTGTGGCCCCTCAACTATTTTACACTCTTCAGACAATGACTTTTGCTCCATTTGTGTGTGCCCATTGCAAATGCCTGTTTCTCGGCGGGAGCACTGTGCACAGACGGTTCGGCCAGACCCCACTCAGGTTAGCCTCATGAGTGCAGCCCAGGCGTCCTCCATCTGGGAACCTCACTCAATTGCTAAAGCTGCAGGATTTAAATGAAAAGCTGTTCCCTAGGTACCATGCTATGAAATACAGATATGTTAATGAGACAGATTTATGTCTTGACATGATGGATTTTATTTATCCCCCCACACCCACCCCCAGACAAGGTTTCTCTGTGTTGTCCTGACTTTCCTGGAACTAGCTCTGTAGACCAGATTGGTCTTGAACTCTCAGAGATCCACCGACCTCTGCCTCCCCAGTGCAGGGATTAAAGGTGTGCGGGACCACAGCCAGGCTACATTCTCTTTTCAATGGGTTTCTTTGACAGTTTTCTGTCCCAGCAGTAGATGCTAGTGACAGGATACCAACAAACTGCCATGTTCACTGTGTTGTGGGCAGACTTCACTTACAGATGGAAACAAATGCCTGATTGCTGCGGACAGCTCTGCCGGGGCTATGCCTGCAGCTGCCAAGGAGTGAGTGTCGGGCAATGTCTGCAGGCTGGGGCCTCCTAGGCCTGGGGGCATGAACCATGGGACCACTGAGAAGTCTGCTCAGCACTTCCACTGAAGCCACCATCTTTGTTTGTGGCTGTCACAATTTACAAGTGGGACAACGTGGTCCATGCCGCTGTTGACATGGAATTTACAGGAGGGAGAATACAAACGGAAGCTGGGTTCAGAGTGGGTTCAAAATGAAAAAAACCCCACGGGCAGAAAAAGTCACTGGTTACCGAATTAAGCAAGCTTTGCTAGACAGCTTGTGCTTTCCTTTCTTTTCTATGTATTTAGTTAGTTGTTAGTTTTTGTTTGTTTTACCCAGGCAGCATTTCTCTGTGTAGCTTTGGTTATCCTGGAACTTGCTCTGTAGACCAGGCTAGCCTGAACTCAGAGATCTGCATGCCTCTCTCTGCCTCATGAGTGCTGGAATTAGATGTGTGTGCCACCACACCTGATATCTTTTCTATTTTTCTCCACTGAAGGCCACTTGGTAGTACAAAGTTCTTCAGGTCATGAAATTTAGATGACCTCCAAATAAGAAAGCTGAACTTTAAGGTGCCATCTAGAGGAAGCTGTTATATGACAGATAGAGTGAAGGCTTAGTTATCTTTAAGTCTGAGGATACTTTTGCTCTGGGTTCGTTTCTACATTACTTATATTTATCTGCTTTTATTTATGCGTTGTGTGTGCTATGTGTGTCTGAGTGCTTGAGGACGTCAGAAGAGGGTATAGTTTATATGCAGCTGTGAGCCTCCATGTGAATGCTGGTGGACTCAGGTCCTCTGCAAGAGCAGTAAGCACTCCTGACTGCTGAGCCATCTCTCTAGCTCTCCACTGCTGATTGCTGTTTTCACAGGGATGGCAGTCAAGTCCAGTGAGTTACTCTAGGTTACAATTTGTGACCACCACAATCCTCATCACCCTGATCATCATCATCATATAGATATTTTCTAGAGATTCTCTTGAAGCAAAAACCCTTGTGATGAAAATATGAAAAACTGGTCCCTTTCTCATTGCAAGCTATTCCCATTTCTGACTCTACTCACAGTTTGGGATTCATGGTGTATTTAAGTTAGAGCTAAATAAGACAGGAGGAGATGGAAGTCTGGCTTGCTCACCTGAGCATGCCATAGGATGCAGGAAGGAATCCCATAGTGTTTGCGGGGCAAGTACAGAGCGAGGGTGTGTGAGGCCACCTAGGCTCTGAGCACGTCTTGATGGACAATCTGTGACCACACAACGCTGTGACAGATGTTAGATGCTGAGGTAGTATGTGTGGCCTGGTGCTGGCCCGACTCAGAGAGAGCTCCTGCTGGGAGGTGGAACAGGAGTTCTTTTCTCCAGTAGCTTGAGGCTGGAGACGGGTTTGGGCTATGCAGGGTGCTGACCTGGAAGCTGCTGGGACTGGCAGGCAGGTGTTTGTCTCACTTGCCAGGGCTGGCTGGCAGAAAGTGCCAGCACAAAGGCATGATCAGGGGCTAAGAAGGCACATCTTCTGCATAGGCTGCTGCTCCCAGGCTTGGTGGTCCAGGGAGCAGCAAGAGTTACAGCTCTCTCCTTCCTTTCCTTTTTCTAATTTTCCTTCTTTTCTGAGACAGGGTTTCTCTGTGTAGCCCTGGCTGTCCTGGAACTCACTGTGTATACCAGGCTGGCCTCGAACTCAGAGATCCACCTGCCTCTGGTCTCCAACTACTGGGATTAAAGGTGTACGCCACCACTGCCTGTCATAATTCTCTTTTTACATTTACCTACTGATGTGTATATGTGAGTATGTAGGCCAGAGGACAACTTGTGGGAATCAGTTCTCTCTTTCTACCACATGATTCCTGGGAATTAAAACTCAGGTCATCAGGCTTTTCCTGTTAAACCATCTTGCTGGCCTTCCTTTCCTTTCTTCTTTGCGACACAATTCAAGCAACTAGGAAACCAGGTGGGGAGAAGTGTGGGAGGTTTGAAAAACAACAGAGAGTGCAAATGAGAATGCTCTGGTAAAGAGAACCAACATCTTCCTCCTGGAGGGCTGGGGGAAGGGCCCTGTTCTCAGAATCCTCCCAGCGGCATCTGGGTGGCCACCAGGGGCTATGAAGACAGCTTGGCACGCTGAGGATGGGGAGGGGAACTAGGGGCTGATCTCGCCAATGAGGCTGCTCCCTCATGACCACAAGGTTCCTTTCCATTTCTAGACAGGGTTGAAGTGAATGGCTGAGGGGCTCTATGGAAAGCTTTCACCAGAGGAGAGACAGAATAGGAACACAAGAATGGGGTCCCCAGGAGTGTTTCACAAGAGCTAACAAAGAACCATGCCAGCTCCCAGGGGAAGCTGGCTGAGCTCACCAAGCACTTTCCTGGGCAGCCAGCCCAGCTTGGAAGGCAAGACTGTCATTTCCCAGTGTAAGGCAGAGTAGGCAGCAAAGACCTTAAAAGACAATGTGTAGCAACCGAAAATCACACTTCTGGTGGGTATTATGGCTTGAAGAAATCTCTGGAAATAAAAGACTATTATGGAAAGTTGGACCATGAGCACTCTGGTTGAAGGGACTGCCATGGTGGCTGGTGGCCAATGGCCACAGTCAAAGGACCAAAGTGATGACAAGCAGAATGGAGGGCAAGAGAATAAGGCAAAATATAGAAGGTACACAGGACTACTTCACAAAACCCACTGAATGACTTTTTTTTTTTTTAAACTAAGTAACAGTCCTGAAGAGAAGCCCCTGGCTGCCAAGAGCTCTGGATGCAGGGCAGAGCACCATGCCAACTGTCCTGCCTGCAGCAGGTCCCCGGATAGTTGGCAGAAACAATACTCGGTACTGCAGAAGGCACCCTGTTACCCCAAGGCTGTTCTACCTGATGGGTCTAAAGATGACAGAAGAACAATCCTAGCACTTGGAAGGCAGAGGCAGAGGGCATTAAGACCTTGTCTCAAAACATTAAAATAATAATAATAATAATAAATTATTACATAAAATAAATAAGCAAGGCAATGCAATTCTGTAATTCTACCTAAACTGTTTACTGGTGTAACCTGGAATGCACACACCTCCTTTATATGCCTACCAGCAGGCTGGAGCCTACAGGCCTTTATAGGGCCTGATTAACGGCTAATTTCCTACTACGAGGCTAGACGGTCCCAGGCTGCTCAGGCCTCACACTGCACACCTGCCTAGAACCTCCAGGCTGTCGGCATGGCCTTCACCACATGGACACAGGGGAACAGTTTCCAAGTTAAAGAAGCAGAAGATATAGAAAACACATAGTTGATTTGGTCAATCTGGACCACAAAATTTGATATTCTGGTGAAAAAGAAAAGTTCTACCTTGGTAAAGGACTTTAAAGATCCTTAGAGGACTCCATTAGGCAAGCTCTGAAAAGAGGGCAGCTGACCAATATTTTTTTTTTTTCCTGCGATAGGGTTTCTCTACGTAGTTCTAGCTGTCCTGGTGCTTGCTATGTAGACTAGACTGGCCTCGAACTCACAGAGATCCATCTGCCTCTGTGTCCAAGTGCTGGGACTAAAGGCATGTCAGCAACCTGGCTTGACTGTAATTCTTGAACACTGCAAGCGCATGTCTTGATACCATTGCTGCTGGAAGTGAGGGGAGGCATGTGTCCATAACAAGAAGAGTTTTGTAAGGACAAACAGGTGCTGATTGGTATCTAAGGTGGTGGCAGTCATTGGGATGAGCAATGACAGGAGCCAGGACATTCAGCTCCAAGCAGACCCCTACTGGCCCAGTGTCCCAGCACTATCTTTGCGGATAGATGACATGACCAATGAGGTGTACTGCAGCACCCCAGGCTCCACAGTCACCTTTCTTTAGGAGGGCCAATACCCACCCTGCCCTCCCTCCGTAGGGAAACCCCGCTGAGCCTTGAGACTAGAATAAAGGAATACAAGTCTTTAATTCCAGATTCTCTAACTCCAGAGCCCATGCTCTTGACCACTGGACCCATTTGTGTCCTGGGTCATTTCCTAGACTCTGAAACCATGATTTGGGGCCTAAGCAGGAAGGGAGGATTTGTTCTCTTGGGCCAACTCTAAAAAGCATCAGCACACAAACCCAATCATCTCATTGCATGATGTACTCTAGTTACTCTAAGCATGCAGGGCTGTGAGGGGAGGGCTGGATCTGAGAGGGGCACAGGGTTCTTTGGAGTACTATGGTCACTCAAGTCTTCTAGTTAAATGTGCCAGGTCCAACTGTGACCTGAGAAATGGCTGCTCCCATGAGAACCCTAACCCACGGGACAGTGTCTCCAGTTGCTGGGCTCCCTCAACTGCACCATTCTGACTTGGGGACTGGGGGAGACCAGAGGCTAGGGCACTGAGGTCCAGCTACTGGTGATATGGAGAATGGATACGCAGGGTCAAGCACAGGAGAGGTCCCTGACGAAAGTGACAAATCAGACCAGTCATGATTTTAGGAAGAATGTGATTCGAGGTTGTTGGGCCAACCTCAGTTTTGAACCTGGAAAACACCTGCTTCATTCTGATGTCTGGAGTCCCAGGACCGAAGGGAAGCGAATGTGGTAAGGAGCCAGGAAAAGCTCCCAGGAAACAGCGGCACATTTCAAGAAATGGCAGCCTCAAGCATCTAAGTTCCAAACACTGTGTCAAATCACAGACACACGCTTCTTCTCTGATCCCGACAGGGACAGAAACTGAGCCCTCTATTTTACAGAGCCGTGCTGTGTGAATATGCTACTTTCCCGCTACAGCAAAACACAGCCTTTTAAGTGACTCTTTCAAGTACACGTTGAGTTTCAAGTAATCGCCTTGTAAGTAGCCCCAGAAGAATTACTGCTCCTCCAGGTTTAAAGTGCCATTTAAAAAAAGCAGGAACAGGACTCACCAGGCAGAAGGCAGAACCACCTCACAGTTGCAAGCGATGTAGAAGAGCCTACAGTTCAGCTCCATCCTGACTTTACTGGCAGCAAGGGTGAGACATCCATGTCAGGCTCCTCTCCAGTCTGGCTGATGGGCTCGCTCTCATGCCTGCCCTATAACTGTATGTGTCCAGCTAGAGAAGCTGCAAGGGGTCTTTGGGGACTCTTCAAAAGGCAGGAAGACCCCTCAGCACGTTAAGGCGGCTTTCCTCCCCTCTGACTACATGGGGCAAATTCAATAAAGTCTTAGCTTTATAAGCAAACTCTGCCTTGCTTCCAGAAGACACCCAGTAAAGCCCGAGACTTCTCACAGCCACTGTGGGAGAAGCAAAGGTTTTCCAATTTCTTCAGCTGGAAGGGCTCAGTCTGGAAGATGAAACCATACTACAAATGATGCACATTTTAGAAATAAAAACACCTTTGTGCCAAGAAAAATCAAGCTCCTGTTGAATCGGCTGGATGACCCCTGGTCACTCAAAGGCCTCCTCATAGGAGGAGGAGAGCATCCCCACCCACCTCAGACATGAAAGGATCAAAGCAGAAACTTCTGGAAAAGATTCTGAGCCCAGATATGACATAGTAAATCAAGCTAATGTTAACAAGATGGGTATTATGAGGTGTGCTGGGCGCAGGGCTTCAACTATCCTACAGATGCACTTAGGAGACACAGGCGTAAGCTGGGTACATGAGGCACTTGGAATGTTTGATTCTGTCCTAGGTCCTTGCTCTACAGGCCAGCCCACCCGCGCACACCGCTTCCCATATAAAATCCAGCAGAACTGATGGGAGCCCTCTGGCCAGTGAAAAGCATCACAGTGAAGGTTGGGATGCCGTGGCCCAATGCTTATTTGCACCCAGGTCAGCTCATACAACATAGGGTCCTCACTCAAGCTCCACTTACTTCGTAAGGTGGAGAGGGAGGGCTGTGTCCCAACTGCTTCCTTGTGCGGTTCCCAGAAATACAAGCACAATTCTTGGGAGGCACTCAGTATTTGCTGTGTGTCTCAGGGCAGGCCTGTCACGCCTCACCATCTCTGGCTTCCTCAGTGCTCTCTCGGCTAACGCAATGAAACTGTAAGAAAGAAGTCTTGCTCTTCCCACTGGGTGCTTCTCAGGCAGTTCTGGTGCCTCGAAGTACTTACAGTGAAAGTCACCTCACTCCTTCCCAGAGCACCCAATGCCTTCACCAGGTCACAGGAGGACTGTGCAAGCAGGAAAGCCAGCTTTCTGGAAGACAGCACTGCAGAGTTATCATACTCTCTGGAGGCCTCTGGGACCCCTGGTGTGGTGCACTGGGAAGGAGAGGCTAAGCAGTGCCTCTAAGGAGAGCTAGCTGTGTCCCTAGACACCTGACCGGCAGCATCAGGCTCCTATATACCACGGCAAGAACATTCTTACCTCCATAGAGGACATCACCACCTCCACAGAAAGAATGCGTTTCCGAGACACTGCCGATGGGCAGCTCCTCCCACTTATAAAGACTAAAATGACACTTTCAAGCCACTAGAGATCAGAGTAGCATCAGCAGCACTGAGATGTAACAGAGCACTTGGCTCCAGCACAAACAAGATTCAGGCACAGCCCTGCAGGCTTTTTGGTTGCTGCGTGGTATGAAAAGTCCAGCCGTGACTCCTCAAAGCAGCCATGTCCAACCCCAGAGCAGCCCTTTCCAGGGCCGCCTGCTAGCTGGTTATGGCATTTTAAACCCTGCTAAGGAAGAGAGATGCAAACCTAGCAAAACTGACCACTGTCAACAGGCAGTTCCACTTTTACACGCAACATGTGCCTGGCACAGCCGTGGGACTGAAGGTCAACAGATTCCAGGGTTTATCTGAAGCACCAGGAGACAGTAGTGCATGTAGCCTGTGACTACAGTTCAAAAGTAAACATCTACAGACAGACATGTCAAGTCACGTGGGACAGCACGCATACACACAGCTGTCACACTTTTTCTTCTCACAGGGCATACACATTCTTGAGATTAAAAATAAACACTTCATTTTAAATTAAGCACTTATATCTTTGAAAAATCTATGTTTAGATATGTCAGAAAAACAAAAAACAAACAAACAACAAACCTACTTTAGCCTCTAGCCTAGGAGAGTGCCTTGATGCACCTACTGTAGTCTAAGAGACCACCTTCCAGGAAAAAGAAATCGCACTTCCCCAAACATGTATGTGTTTTACATTTTAAGATCTAGCCTCAGTTGCCAAATGCAACATATATCTGGTCAAAGAGCACAGGAGGGAGGAACCACTCAGACTCCAAGACACTGATGGACTAGTAAAACAAGACTCCATGAAGGGAGCTAGGAGCAGTTCATAACACTAAAAGTCTGGAGTAGCTACGAAGAGGACTGACGTTGAAACATCAAAATAAAATTAAATACAGCCCTACTCTTTAATACACACACACACACACACACACACACACACACACACACACACACAAAATAACAGTTTGGCACTTAGCAGCTTTTGTTAATATTGCATCCCATATTAAGTTGCAAATTTATTTTATGAAATATTAATTTCTGCAGCTACAGTGTCAATAAACTGAATTGAAAAGCCTGTTCTTTTGTTTGTTTTTTTAAAGTGAGCTGACCAAGTCAACAGGCACTGGCTATCAGACCCATCACTCTAAACTGTCTCCTTGGAGAGGCCTGAAGCAGGTTTAAAAGAACTTTAAATTCAGGAGTTAAAAACAACAAACGAACAAATACCAACCAACCAAAACAGAGCAGTACCACAGCTGTCCTGGATAACGGTTTCTCTCTGTTCCAGCAGGTCATGGCTCTGTCCTGCGCAGGTATTTCACAGAGCCACCATCTCAGCAACAACAGAAAGTACTTTTTCTGCAGTAGCTTCTTTGATGGAAAACTTCCCAATGCAGAAACACACCATGTGGCTGATGCAACACAATCCAAGCCTGGCTTTGGCTGACATTGAACTTGATCGGATGGCATGTATGTGTGGCACATCTGCCCTATTGCAAAGGATAAAATCCTTAGACCTTCTCTTGCCAAGTTGCTTCTGGCCACAGCAGAGTTACAAAGCCAGTCTCAGTCCTTCTTACACTCATCCTGGCCTCTTTTTAGCAACTTTTTTTTTTTTTTTTTAATGCTGATGACTCAGGGTAGGTGGAAATGCATCGGCCACCCATTTCCAGGTCCATGGGTGGGAAAATAGGATTGATGTTTTATATGCATTTTAATTGCATATAAACATCTCACATAGGAAGTTTCTAGAAGAAATTCCTGCTCTCCAATTTATAACCAAAGGATGTACTTATACATTTAGCAATCACTAAGATACAATGTTGCCTCTTGTGCCATATCTAAGAGAAAGAAACTTCAAGAGAACAATTAGAAATGAGGAACTCTCTATCAAGTTAACTAGAAACTTGATATTGCATACAGCTCACACTAAGAGTGTGCTCAAGTCCCTGATTTCACACCAAGGTGGCATAATCTCAATGGAGAACAAAATATCTCACAGGATAAATTCCACTTACTAAGGAATTCTTTTTACTAATGGGAAGAGGAGAGTTGCGTGAATGTGGGGGTGAGTGATGGGGAAGGAGGGGAAAAGAGGGTGCTAGAGGGAACAGAATGAAATTAAGTTGAGGTAGTTTATTCTACCAGCCAAACATTTCTGGGAGTGAAATTCATCCAAAACTTCTACCAGTGAAGGGCATTGCGAGCAGCCTGTTACAAAGACAAGATCCTACATACACCTGCATTCAAAGACAAGTCTGTAACTCTAAGCAGCAGTAAACAGGACGGAGTGTGCTTTCAGACAGATTATATGGAGATGCTTTTTGATCCCTATGCACGTTATCTGGACAGCTTTCTTTCTTTTCTTTCTTTCTTTCTTTCTTTCTTTCTTTCTTCCTTTCTTTCTTTTCTTTTTTTTTAATGTTTCACTGTTTTTATTTGCAACAGAGCTCTATCATTGCCCGACTCTGTCTTAAGTCTCCTCTGCACTGATGCCCTGGTGGCTAGAAAATGGTTTTGTTCTTCCTGGTGGAAAGAAAAAAAATGGTACGACTAAGTTCCCTCCCAGTCTGACAGCACCACCCCAGAACTGTCTTGGTGTGACACAGGACCGTTTACAGAGCAATTCCTTTAAGCTCACACAAGGGCTGGCTGCAGACTTGAACTCCTTGGGTGACTGAATTTTTACTAAGATAAATAGTTTTATGAGTGTTACCTTAGTTTCAATTCATCACAACTTAGTTTTTTAAAGAGTCTTAAGACAGAGCGCTAGTAATAAATGGGAACTAACTGGCGCAACCTCAATTGGTGGGTGAGGCTAGGCGTTAGCAGCCTCCACAGGCCGGACGAGGATAGCTGTGTACCCCGGGCATGTTGGCTTGCATATATGGATTCTGTTGTTTACCACAGCCACACACACTGGAACGCACAGTCGGTCGGATAAGAGCTCCCCTTCTGGGAAAACGCACCTTAGGGTTTTACCTTTGATATTTCACATGATACCAACCCCCACTCCCTCCTCCTTTTGACATTCTCTAGCCTCGGTTTACAGACGCATCAGGCTGGAGAACTGATTCCTCCCGGGTAGTTTTTCAACAGTTACACGGTCTCCAAACAAGAGCAGAAGCCTGAGCCTCTAAGCATTAAAAAACCACCGAAGAGTAACCATACTGAAGCCCAGCACACAGCAAAATGGGGCTACTTCTCTGCGCTTGCTGACGTCCAGCCACGTGATGCGCTTGGGGCGGGATCTCGCTTTTGGCTCCTCTTCCTCTTCAAGGGGAATGGACCCGGATGCGGAACAAGCCTTGCTGCAGCTGCAGGCGGAAGAGCTTGCAGTTGGCTATGCGCAGGGCTGCGCATCCTGTGCGCCGGAGGTCGGAGGGCAGGAGAGGCTTCGTATGGTGCCAGGTGCCCGTGCTTCTCTTGAACTCCCGCACGTAGTCATAGTTGGTACCTAAGCGCAGAGAGGGAGCAGAGCTCAGCCGACGCACCTGAGCCACAGGGAACAGTTCCCAAGAAACCGCTGCAGCTTCTCACCTGTGTCTAGGTCTCCGATAACATAAATACTGGCTCCGATGGGGACAGCTCCGTAGACGAAGGATGAACTGGCAGGGATACACAGGTTCTGATCGTTCAGATAGATCCACCTGGAAGCAAGGCCGCCAGACACAACTCAGGAAATCACGAGTACAGCTGACACGCTTAGGAAGACAAGCGCGGACAATGCACCTGGGCAAGCCCTCAGTGCACTGCACACTGCTCCCCTTGACCCCCGCTGCACTCGCAGGAACCCCACTATTTTTACTGTATAGACAGGCAGCAAGGGCTCACACACAGTGACTCCTACAGAGTGGCCTGCCTCTGCTGAGCACCCCAGCTCCTGGGACTCATTCACGATTGGCTTAAGTCACTCACACTCTCTTTTTTTTTTTTTTTTAAACTGTATGTATACATGGGTGTGTGTGTAGGTAAATGCGTATGAGTGCCATGGAGGCCAGCCGACAAGGTCAAAACCCCTGGATCTGGAGTTCCAGGTAAATGTGAGGGCCCTGATGTGGGTGCTGGAAACGGGATCCCAGCCCTTTGCAAGAGCAGCAAATGGTCTTAGCAACGGAGCATCTCTAGCACTTAGGAGCATGCTTCTTACTGCTAAGGCTCCATCAGTGTACCTGGATGCCTTCTGGCTTGGGCTGCTGTAACCATAATGGCCAGGGATGTTAGGGGAGTCTTTTTTTAATTTTTTTTGATGGATTTATGAAACTGCTGGATTCTGTGGACAGGGCACATACTACTTAAGTGATGAAAAAAATGCCCTCTTACCCAAAGCACAATGCTGCTGGTTTCCAGTCAGGGCATGGCGATCCCAGCTGCTCAGGCTCACCAGGTCTCCATGCCCTCGGTTCTTTGAAGGCTTTAACTACTGTAATGGTGAGTATTTCCTTAAAGTCCAACTATGCTGGGTATTTTGGCATGAGCTTACTTTGTATATCTTCTTTTGCAAAATGTCTATTCAAAGTTTTGCTCATTTTAGAAAACATACATACAAATATTAAAAATAAGATAATTCTTAAAAAAAAAAAAAGGCATTCTAAAAAACAAAACAAAACAAAAACCCCTGACTAATCTTCAAGCCTCAAGGTCAGGAAAGACAGAGGCTATCACAGGCTAAGGGACAGCACCTGCTGGCAGCCAGAATCCAGAACTGAGGCAACGTGCTGGTGGAAAGTGGGTACACTGCGGCAGTCTGCACTTTAGCTAGTACTGCGCAGCTTCACACTGGTGTTCCCACCGAGGTGCACGCTCACATTAGAAGCCGAGTGGATGTCTTACAGGAATACCTTGACTTTCTGAAACTTTTCTACAAGTCTAAAATTACTGCACAGCCGGAGAGATGGCTCAGTGGATTGGAGCACTTGTTGCTTTTGCAGAAGACCCTGGTTCAATTCCCAGCGCCCACATGGTGGCTCACAGACATCTGAAACTCCAGTTCTAGGGCATCTGATGCTGTCTTCTGACCTCCCCAGGCACGCACATGGTATGCATATAATACAGGCAAAACGCTCATAAACATAAACAAATATAATAAAATTACTGCAGACAGATACAGCTCTGTTGGTAAGAGTGTTCGCTGTTTAGCCTATCGACCCAAGTTTCCTCCTTGGGATTCACATCATAAAATCAACTCCTGCAAAGGCTGTTCTGTGACCTTCATATGAGATAAATAAAATCTAGGCTTTGCCATGTAATTCAATAATGTTCACTCAGGAAACTATGACCCATTTCCCACTAACAGCTTACAGGCAGGCCAGAGCAGAGCCACTGCCTAAGCTGCCAGAAGGCCCCCGCTGTCCAGGATGGTGCACGCAGTTCTGTGGGCACCCCGGCCTCTCCACCCTGCTGCCCAGCAGCTAAGAGAGCCAGCGTAGTAGTAGCCCTCTGATGTCAGATACCAGCACACAAACATCTCACAAAGAACACCACTCACTTTAACAAGCTTTTCCCTGATTAGTATGAAACAGGAAGCTTATTTTAAGCCTATTTAAGCTTCCAAGAAACAAGGAAAGAAGATAATTTGCCCAAGATTATAAAAGAAAGCTAAGCCACCACCATATTTCTCTCCCTCTCTGCTTCTCTGTCTCCCCCCTCCCTCTTCCTTTCTGTGTCTGAGACAGGGCCTAGGCTGGTCTCTAACGTGCTAAGCCACCAAGAGTGACTTTACCTTCTGTCCTGCTTCCACCTGAGTGCTGGATAACATGCCCTTATGGGGTATCGAGGATGGCCCTAGGGCTCCATCATGCTCTCTCCTGAGCCACATCCCCAGCCTACTATCGGATAGTTTGCTGGGTTAGAAATAGTGTGGTGTTTCTGCAGAACAGCGGGGTGACCAACTCTCACATGTGGCTGACTCAGCTCCAAGCCTACACTGTGCAGTTTAACTTCTGACCCTGCCAGTAAGACCAAGATAAAGAAACTTCCTCTGTACATCCTTGCAAAGAGGATGAAGAGAAAACACCACCCAGCTCAAGAGCTGTGGAGCCAGGCCTGGGATGGAAAGACAAAGCCTGTCTAAGACACCCCACATCTGGACAGCAATGGCAATCAGCGTAGCCACCCAGCAGAACTGAGGATGCTGAACACTGTTTTTCCAGAAGAACCCAACATCTCCTCCCCCACCTTCCCTCCTAAGTTCTCAGTTGTACTGAAGTGGGTTTGAACCAGAAATTCTCCTGTTTTGGTCTTCTAAGTACTAGGATTATAGGTACGTTCTGCCAGGCCCAGCCATTTCTGCTTTCTCTAGGTGAACTGAGTGGCGTGATAGGTGTCACCTATCTATATTTTTTCTGCCAGTTCCCGTGGCATATGGTGGGTTTCTTGCCTTTGGAGGGCAGGAGAGTCCCAGGGATTTACTGAGCTCCTCCTCCCACAATGGCCCCCAATCCCAAATCCACTAGCATTTAGCCAGCTATCAGGCATTCCTATGCATTTGTATACTCAAAAGATGAAAAGATGACACCGGTAACACAAGCACCATGTGTCATAGCAGGAAACTGAGGCAGAAGTGAGAGGTTAGGACTTGGGAAAGGGAGATGCCACAAGAGGTGCCTCTGCCCCTGGACATGGAAGACACGCAGCAGACACTAGGCACAGCTGACGGGATCATGGTGTCTGCTTCACTCTGGAGAAGCTTGGGAAGGGAGAACGCTTGCAGCTCTGCTCTGAGGGGTAGGAGTACACAGCAGGGCACAGCAGGAGAGAAGGTGGGCACCCAGGAGAACCTTGTTGAGTGTGAAAGGTAAATTGTGGCAGTGACACTGGGGTGAGAGAACTGAGAGGACTCTGTCAGAGTGTGGGGACACCTGGGAAGAGGGCAGAGAGGTGAACACCACAGGGGCACAGGAACCTCAGAGGAGAGATGCTGCTGCTTGCACGTGTCATCACGTGACCTGGGAGTAACCTGTGGCCTTTTTTCTTTTTAAAAGTTTTCTTTTTTAATTCAGAAACCACAGAAAATAGTAAGATATGGCATTTTTCCAGGAAAGTTTTCATCTAAAAATAAGGAACAAAGACAGGAAAGACGAGAGATCACTTACAATCTGAATGGTTTACACTCTAATACAGACTGCTCATCTGGCAGCAGTTTCCAGAGTGTGGAAAGAGTGCACACAGGGAACACTGCACTGTGGCTGGGTGGGCTTTTTCTGCCAGGGTTTATGGGAACAGAGCCAGGCCAGCAGGATGAGTGCAGCGGGCAACTCGGCAGCCAGAAAGCTGGGTTCCAGGGCTGCTGCAGGCTCACCTCTCTGTGCTCCGTGTCCTCACAAGTGAGGTGGGCCGACAGTGCCTGCGCCTTGTAGGCTGCAGGGGACAGATGAGGCCCAGCAGCGACCATGCAGCATCTGGGTCTGCTCATGTTCAGAGTTTTACAAATGTGCAAATGTCCTGTATGTCACTGACGAGGTGCTGGCAGGTGCTCTGTTTACAAACTAACACTGAGAAGCCTGGGAACATGAAGGCTGGAGATGGATGGATTTTACTTGGAAAAACAATCTTCTTAAGATGAAGGGCTTTATTTATTTTGGTGTGTTTGTGTGAATACTCATGTGTGACAGTGCATTTGCACACATGTGTATACTGATGTCATGAGGGACAGAAGGAAGACCCCCAGGTTTGAGCAGCAAGTACTTTCCTGACTGACCTACTCCCTAACCTCTTCTAATGCACAAGTGGGGATGAGGACGTGGGCAGTGGTCAAGAGTGGTGGCTGCTCTTCCAAAGGACCTGAGTTCGCTTCCTAGCACCCACGTCCGGTACTCACTACTCCAGCTCCTGGATATCTCACACTCTCTTTTGAGCTCCTTGAGCACCCCCACACATGGCACACATTCACATAGACACAAATAAATAGTAAAAAATAAATTTAAAGCCAGGGCTGGTGGGGAGACAGACGCAGGCAGATCTCTGTGAGCTCATGGCAGGCCTGGACCATAGAGAGTTCCATGCCAGTCAGGGCTACGGAGTGAGACCCTCAAAAAAGAAAAGGAAAAAGTTAAGGGAGACAAATAGGAACCAGGAAACCCTACTTCTACCCACAGTGTTGTAGGCTTGTACTTAGAACAGGTGGTCAAGCTCCTCAACAGCAGACGTGGAGCAGGCTGATTGGAAGGGATACCATGGTTCTAGCAACACAGAATGGCCCAGGACAGCTGGAAAGCGTTACAGCCAGACTTGAGTCCCACCCAAGGCAACAGAGAGAAAGAATAAAAAACACAAGTAAACCACTTCTGACAAGTCGCAGCTCAGCTGACTATGCACGGAGTCATTCATCATGAAAAAGATGTGTCAGGGGCTGGAGAGATGGCTCAGAGGTTAAGAACAGTCTTCCAAAGGTCCTGAGTTCAATCCCCAGCAACCACATGGCGTCTCATAACCATCTATAGTAAGATCTGGTGTGCAGGCAGGATGTTGTATAAATAATAAATAAATCTTTAAAAAAAAAAAAAAAAGAAAGAAAGAACGAGCTTTGTCAGTGTTTTTCCAAAAGCCAAACACACTGCTACTGCTTGTTAATCAAGCGGGGCAGGAGCTTAATGCGCTCTTCCCCACTGCAGCAGCCGGCCCCACAGTGGCATGTCAAAGGAGAATGTAACAAGCCTCTACATCCCCTGCCTACCCCACACAGCAAATACATTTGAAGTTGGCTCATTTTCTGTCTGGCAAGTTCCCCTGACAGTCTACCCGCTAATACTGAGACGTAAAGGCATGTCTGAACCTATCCGAGATGGGAAGCACGTGACAGACCAGGCAGCATTTCTGTGCATGTCTAAGGCACAGAAACCGGACATTATCCTATGGCACCCCCCTCTGGGGACATGACTGAAGCACGTATGATCACACTGTGTGCAGTGGGCTTCCCGTGGGACATGGACAGGCCACTGCAGTGTGAACACTACCTGCACGTATGAATGGGAGAGTGTGTGAGCAGAGGGCTGGGGTGGCACCTGCCACAGGCTCACACCAGGGTGTAGCATGCACTTTTAAAAAGTTTTCTTCTTTTTTTTTTTTTTTTGGCCAGACAGTGGTGGCTCATGCCTTTAATCCCAGCACTTGGGAGGCAGAGACAGGTGGATCTCTGAGTCTGAGGCCATTCTGATCTACAGAGTGATTTCCAGGACAGCCAAGGCTACACAGAGAAACCCTGTCTTGAACCCCTCACCCCCCAAAAAAAGGTTTTTCTTACTCGTGTGTGTGTGTGTGTGTGTGTGTGTGTGTGTGTGTGTGTGTGTATGCCTGCACTAACAAGCTATATGGAAGTCACAGGACAAGTTGTGGAAATCAGTTTTCTCTTTCATCTGGGGGTCCTGGAAATTGAATTCAGGTCATCAGGCTTGATGGCAAAGTGCCTTTATCTGCTGAACCCACATTTCTGGTCCCTGTCAGTGTCCTAGTATCTCTAATACATGATGGAGCATCTGGGGCCGGTCAGGTTTGATGCTGGAGCATAATATGGGTTGACCACATGGGACCTTGCCCTGTGTGCATGCACAGTTCGCAGTTACAAAATCAGAGAGATGTGCAGAGGATAAGAGATCAGGGACTGAGGGGCGTGCGTGAGTCATCGGGAAGAAGATGGCAAAGGCTTTTTCTGGAGAGTGACAGTTAAGTGTAGTTTTGGAAAGGGCCACGTTAACTAGACGGATGAGGGACATTTCAGGCAGAACTGGAAATCAAAGCTAAGTCACATCTCTGAAAGCACAAAGGGAGAGGCCAGGCAGGAGAGCCTCAAGGCTGTCTGATGCATGGAGAGGCCAGGCGTGGCAGCCTTGAGACTGATTACCTCTTAAACTCGTCATGATAGAACTCAGACTTGCAGGTGACCATCTCGCTGCCCTGGATGTCCTCTCGACTCCTGACTCCTCCAAATACATACAGCTCCATGGCGACACCGCAGGCCACTGCTCCAAACCTGCAGGGCCACAGAACACAGGTGCTGGCTTACAACTCTGGAGCTTAGCCCTCATTCTTCTACTATTGCTCTTTTATTTGCTGGTCTTTTTGAGACCTCAGGGCAGCCTGAACTCACTGTGTAGACCAGACTAGCCCTGAACTCACAGCAGTGCTCTTGCCTCGGTAGTCTCCAAGTGCTGTAATGACAGATGTATGCCATCATGCCCAACCCAATTGCTTTTGTCTTTATGTGTATAGCTGTGTGTGTATGTGGAGGCCCAAGGCTGACATCAGTAGTGATTTCTTGATTCCTTATTAAGGCAAGGTCTCTCAATTGATCCCAGAGTTTGTCGACAGGGCTAGTCCAGCTAGTCAGCTTTTTTAGGGATTCCTTGTCTCTGCCTAACCAGTGCTGGGACAGCCTGATATTTCCTCCGGTACTGGGGATCTGAACACCATTTCCAGGCTTGTGGAGCACACCACATACTTTCACACCGAGTGATCTCGCTGGCCTTTCTTGCCTTGTGGTAGCTCTGCGTTATATGTGCATGTGGGCCTTCTGTCTGAGGAGCTGCCAGGCCGTGAGGCCTCATACGTCAACAGTAGCGCACTGATGGGCACACACTCTGCCTCACCTTCTCTCTTTCAGGGGACATATGGCAGTCCATTGCTGGGTCCGTGGATCGTAACACTCCACAGACTCAAACAGTTTTCCGTAGGATCCTCCACCCATGGCATAGATTTTCTTTTTCATAGCTGCATAGCAGCCAATCTGAAAGGAAAAAACAATCGTGGGGAAAGGTACCATTTGTTGTTAGAACTGGATGGACAGAGAGCAAATGGCCCAGAGAGCATGGTCACATGTAAGACAAGTTCTGACTCTTAACAGCAAAACCATGATGCCCCCTAACGTGATGCCATGGGTGCATACGCACTGGAAATCCTCAGAGTCTTCATCCATCCTCAGCAAAGGAAGCCAGCAACTCTACTTTTCTTTCCTTTTTGGGGGACCATGCTGGGCACAGAACCCAGAACTTCAAACATGCCAGGCCGGTATTCTGCCATTACACTAGATCTCAGCCCATAATCTTATAATTTTTTTTTTTTTTGGGGGGGGAAGGCTCTCTTCCTTCATCATGTGGATTCTGACACATCAGGTCATAAAGTATGGCAACAAGCACCTTCAGCCCCCAGCCATCTTGATGTCCCCATTATCTAACCTTTAAGTGCTGGAGATGTAGGCAGTGGCACAGCACTTGCCTGGTATGCACAAGCTATGAGTTCCGCCCATACCACACTGGGTGAGATTGGGAACGAAGTGGACTTTCAGCATCTGTCTCCTTTCACCAGTATGTGCGTTCCCAAGAGTTAAGGTTTTTGGAACAGTAAGTTGCTCAATTGCTGTCACACTGTTTAGTTGGATGGTGTGGTGGTTTGAATAAAATGGCCCTCAAAGGCCCATAAAGAGAGGCCCTAGTAGGAGGTGTGGCCTTGTTGGAGGAAGTGTGTCACTGTGGAGGTGGGCTTTGAGGTCTCATATGCTCAAGCTACAGCCCAGTGTGACAGTCTTTCCTCTGCTGCCCCATGATCAAGATGTAGGAATCTCAGCTCCTTCTCCAGCACCATATCTGTCTGTACACTGCCACACTTCTCGCCATGATGATAATGGACTAAACCCCTAAAACTGTAAGCCAGCCTTATTTAAGTGTTTTCCTTATAAGAGTTCCCGTGGTCATGGTGTCTCTTCACAGCAACAGACCTTTAACTAAGGCAGAAGTGTACACAGTAGGACACGACAGGATATCCATGGCATGAACCCAGAGCCATAGCCAGAAGGACTGATGGACAGCTCTAACCTGAGCTGTCTAACCTCAGCTATAAACTGAGTCTACCTGAGAGAGGCTTGCAGAAGGAAGCCATTGTAGGTTTTCACTTGGAGAGTCAGGAATGTGGGAGAGACCCAGCCATTCACAAAGGACCCTGTATCAGCACCGCTGCTCAGAGACAAACATTTGCTCACAGAGACGCTACCACGATATGATGTGTGGCTGCTGACATGAAGGCGAGCTGCCAACAGAGATGGAACTCTGGAGCCTTGATCCTCTGAGCACTTTCAGCTGTGCCAAAGGCATACTTAAGAAGTAAAGATGTGTGCTGCGGACTTTGCCTAGCAGAAGACAACTATGTGAGGCCCTAGGTGTGATCCCACAGCAACAACCAAGCCCACAAAGGGACACTTGGAAGGCACTGCAGCAGACTGTGCCACTTACCTTTCTAACCATGGTCAAGTCGGGCTGCTTCGTCCAGGTTTTTGAATAAATATCATAACACTCCATGGAGATCAGCTCCCGGTCGCCATCCTCCCCTCCAAGGATGTACAGCATCCCATCTATCTCCACGATCCCAAAGTTGTGCCTCGCCTGGAAAGACAGCACAAACCTTTGTAGGCAAAAGGGGATGTTATTCCAGTGTTCCAGCAAAGAGGAGCCTTGTTCACACTGTTTCTCCTTAGAATGCCTCCACACTGTGTGTTGCTTCCTTGGCACAACAGACAGGGCCTCACTCCTCAGGACCAGGGATAAAAGATGTAGGCTCATCAACAGAGATGCTGTGCTTAACCTACAGAGCTCAGAAGAGTGCCAGCCTCCTAGGACAACTGGCTCCATGGTATTGCTTTTGTGCAGTTATGGGCAGGCGGGTTTCTGAGGTGACTGTGAAAGATGTCAACAGCATATAGTGTGGACTCTCTATGGCCAGGATGGGGAGCAGGGAGGCACGCCAGAGTCCCAAGAATCACGGAAGTCTGGGGTGCTTATCATTCATCCGCAGCCCAAACAGAACATAGGAAATTCCCGGCTTGTGGACTCTCTGAGGAATATATAAAGGCAGTGTGTGCAGACGTGGGGCCCAGCATAGAGAGAGGAAGGCAGTAAGGAAGGCATCTTGAGAATGGGGCAAGCAGTAAGGGAGGTGAGGAACAGGTCGTAGGTCTCTGCAGGGAGGTGGTCCTGGGCAGGGGGCCAGGAGGAGACAGGGGAGGAAAAAGCAGGAGGGGGAGACGAGGGAGAGCATGCTCCAGGCAGGGCGAGGCCAGGCTGCCTCTTCTTGCCCTGCCTGGGAACGCACACCCAGTAAAAGTGCCAAGGGGAGAAGAAACACACCTCAGAGACAAGTGTGCCATACCTCATTCATGGGTGGCAGTGGGGTCCATGCATTGGCGTCTGGGTCGTACTTCTCTCCCGAGCTCAGTGTCTGCTTATTTTCATCTTGGCCCCCCAACACAAACAAAAATCCTTCTGTAAAAAAAGGGAAGGGACACACAGGACACCCTCAGCAAGTACAATAGTGCAGAGGCCTGGCATTGAAAGCTACCCTCCTCAGCCCCGACAAGTCTTCTTGCCCTTTGGTGACAGAGCCAAACTTGTCAGTCACTCTGGCCATTCTGCTTTACTCAATACAGTCTCTGAGGTGATTCTCACCCTACAGGAGGAGAAGAAAGGTGGTACCACCCCTCAGGCACCAGGCAGCTCAGGGATGCCTCAGTTTATTACATTATTCTCTAGCTCTGTGAGTCTCAAGCAGCATCCAACCTATGGTCCACATCTAGTCTCAGGATCACAGGGATTCTTAGCAGAGGACACTTGACATTCGAAACAGAATGAAAGACTCACTGTCGAGCCTGCTATTGGGGTAGTGATGGTGGTGAGCTCAGCAGTAAAGCACATGGCCAGTGCAGACAAGGACCCAAGTTTTACCTCCAACATCGTACAAAATGAGGGAATGAGTAAGTGGGCCAGCTCAAACCAGTACTCAACTTGCTTTGAGAGAGTGTCTTTCAGACACGGCGGGGAAGCTGTGTCAATGAACTCTCAACAAGTTGGTTGACTGCACAAGACCATACCAGTCTCCATGCCAACAGGGATGGGGGAAATTTTATAAGGTCCCACGTGCTTCCAGCCGAAGCAATAGAGGCAGTCAATGGATGCTGAGGAGAGTCAGTTTCTCCAGGGATGAGCCCCTAATAGGTTTCCCAACCCTAAATGGTCAACCCTAGACATGTATAGGCAACACTAATTGACTCAGGAGACTTTACACACACACACACACATATGTATACATATACACATAAATTATAGAAAAGAGGTCATTAATTTCAAGAGGGCCATGGGAAGAGTTGGAGGGAATAGAGGGAGAAACGACTCATGTATGACTTTCTCAAAAAATTAAAATTAAAAAAATTATGTATGTGCGTATATATGTGCATGTGAACATGGCATGGATCATGTGTGATGGTCAAAAGGCAACTTATAAGAGTTGTTTTTCTCCTTCCAGTGTGTCAGTCCCAGGAATTGAACTCAGGCCGTCAGGTGTGGTAGCAAGTGCCTTTTTCCACCTTGGCCAGCTCAACTGATTTAAACCTCCTGCTTGTCTAGGAAATTTCAAGCTGAACTCAATTCTGGACCAACAGTCTTTTCAGGAGACTGTCAGGAACAGATGCAAAAATCTCTATAGGATAAAGAAAGCCTTCATCCAAGCCGCAGGCTGCCTGTCACGTCGCAAGGCATTAGCCATTCCTATGAATAAGAGCATCCAGCAAAGGCTCTCAGGCATAGCTAGAGATTTGGTCTTATGGAATATGAGCTGAAGCAAACCCTGGAAACAGTGCTGCAAAGACTTGAGGTCCTGTGTAACCAGAGAAACAAAGCAGCAATACTGACCACAATCCCAAGAAATGCAAAACTACTAAATGACGGCATACTGAACACACTCACAGACAGACATAAAAACTAAAAATCCCACCGACGGATTAATAGGTTCTCAGAGCTGAAAAGACAAGTCAAAAGCAACCATTAACTTTGCAACAGAGAGAAAAAAGCTAGAAGCTGCTGGGTGGCAGTGGTGCGTGCCTTTAATCCCAGCATTTGGGAGACAGAAGCAGTGGGATCTCTGTGAGTCTGAGGCCACCCTGATCTATACAGTGAATTCCAGGATGGCCAGAACTATATAGAGAACCTTCCTCTAAAAGGACAGAAGCTGATACAAACAAGCAGAGAAGGCGAAGCGTCTGACATGCTTGAGCAGACGTCTAAGTGCAGAGGCAAAATGGGAAGATAAAATGGGTGAGGAAGAAAAAGGGGCGGGAGATGTGGCTCAGCAGGTAAAAGAGCTTGCTGCAAGGAGCTTGCTGACAACCTGAGTTTGATCCCTGGAATCCAGATGTCATCGTATCGGGCGGTGCTGGAGCTCCACCAGCTTTAACTTCGTTTTGAGACAGTGTGCAACTACATGTCCCTAGCTGATCTGAGTTTACTGTGGAGACCAGGTTGGTCTCCAACTCATGGAGATCCTCCTGCCTCTGTCTTCCAAGTACTAGGATTAAAGCTGTGCACCACCACAACAGGCAAAAATCACATTCGTATACCTGAATAACTCTGAAATAATGTATTACTTGGTCAGTGTTCTGCTAGACTTGAGCTGAGAGTACCTGCTGACAGAACACCGTGGTTAATTCTTGGCATGCTCAGAGGAGCCAGTTCAATCCACAGCTGCCGATTGGGGTCGTAGAGCGGGCACATACATCGCATGGCGGCCGTGGGTTTCCGTGAACTAAGGAAATACATAATTGAAGTTTTACTTACAGTTCCACTCATAATAACCACTGTCAGTTGGTTAAGCATTTAACAGATGGTTAAACACTTAAAAAAGTCAATTACTATTACACTTTAGAAACAGAAAATTACCCTGCATTTTTGTATATGTGTGTTGCAACTCCCCCTTCCTCCACACCCCTTTCCGGAGGTCCCCTGCCACACTCACACTCTTTCTTCCCCTCCAATGGTCACTATGCACTCTGAGTAGCCCCTTGGCTTGAAGCTGGCCAGCATGGCCTCCCCCTGCTGCGGCTGGCTGAGCGGGATGTTGCTGCACTCTTTGACGATTTCTCGTACCAAGGGCTCATTCAGCATCTGCTCCCGAAGGTAGCTGGAGTCCAGCCCTGAAACCCACAGTGCTGACATGACGTCCTTCATGTGGACCTGCGCATGGAGGAGGACGGACAGAAGAGGGATGACACAGGTCTTCTGAAACGTACTTTCTGACTTGCAGCATTGGGCGGCTGCTACCAGTCTATTAGCAGAGACCATCACTGTCAGTCCTGCCTAAACATGCACACCAGCCCCCAACTCTCCTTTTCTTCTTTAAAAAGATTTTACTTTTATCTGTGTGTGTGTGTGTGTGTGTGTGTGTGTGCGCACGCGCGCACGTGTGTCTATGTGTGTGGCGCCTATGGCCAGAAGAGGACATCTGATTCTCCTGAGCTGGGGTTACTGGTTGTTGTGAGCTGCCCAATGTGGGAGCTAGGAACTCAAGTTGGGCCATCCATAATAGTGCAAATGTTCCTAACTGCTGAGCCATTTCTCTAGCTTCCCCTTTTACAATAAGATTTTTTTTTCTTTTTAGTATTTCTAGACAGGGTTTCTCTGTGTAGCCTTGGTTGTCCTGGACTGGCTTTGTAGACCAGGCTGGCCTCAAACTCACAGAGATCCGCCTGCCTCTGCCTTCTGCCTCTCTGAGTGCTGGGATTACAGCACTGCACCCAGCATATTTCTTTTAGAAAATCCTGTGTATTGTGTAGGCTCCTGGGGAGGGTACAAGAGGGCATCAGAGCTCTGGGAGCTGGTTTAAGGTGGTTGTGAGCCTTACTGACGTGTGTGCTGAGAATCCAACTCTGGTCTTCTGCAAGAGCAGCAGGCTGGCTTAACCACAGCCACTTTTCCAGCCCCCTTTCTTCTTTCTTTCATTTGCATTTGTTTGAATTTCATTATAGAGTTTCACGAGCTTCCCTCATGCTGAAGGGTCCCACCTCAGTAGGTTAACTGAGCGAAACGATCACATTGCTTGATCTCACAAGTCTGGATGGGCTGTGACAAAACCACACTCATGGAAGCTCTAGGATGGTACAGCAAGCTTAGGAGGATAAACTTGGATAACAGATCAACATCAATATTCTAAGAAAATCAGCAAAGGTTAAAAAAGAATTCCCAGAACTGTATAATTCCTGCAATGATCATGGTTCAAAACTATCTCACAGTTTTGGGTACTTTTGGTGTCAGTGGCCATCTCTGATGCTTAGGCATGCTCTGGGTGATTTGGCCACAGACCTGATCTTGACTAACTACTCAGTACGGCCTCTGTGGGAAAGGGGACACCCTTGAGTAACTTAAAACATACTTTTCCATGCTCTGAGGAGTCGGGTTAGCCAAAGGATTGCCATGTTCCCTATAAGCAGGCCACCCTGAGCTCCTGAGGTTGACCCAGCACAGTCCAGGGAGGAACAGGGTCTCCTAGCAGCTTCTGTGAGTTACCTAATGAACAGAGGACTAGGTGGCCTAACTGCAGCTAAGTCCACAGGCGTGGTTTCTGAGTGTTCACCCTCACAGGCCTACAGTTTGAAAACTACAAGATAATCACCACGGCGGAGTCTGTCATTGCCAAGAACAATGAACAGTGTAGTGTAATTATGCATTCCAAAACCTATTCTCTAAAACCAACCCAACACATTTCTTATTTTGAAACAAGTAATTGGAGAGAAGACTTGAAAACAAGCTACATTCCCTGTGGGATCTCAATGGGGACCTAAAAGCCAACATTCTCTAAGAGCCTCCACCAGCTGCCACTCCTAGACCTTTTCTGTTGAGGGTTTTTTTTTTTTTTTTTTTTTTTTTTTTTTTTAATTTTATGTACATTGGTGTTTTGACTGCATGTATGTCTATGTGAGGGTGTCAGATACTCTGGAACAGGAATTACAGACAGTTGTGAGCTACCATGTGGGTGATGGGAATTGAACCCAGGTCTTCTGGGAGAACAGTCAATGCTCTTAACCAGTGAGATATCTCTCCAGCCCTCCAGTTTTGGTTGTTACTTGCTTGCTTATTATTTTTAAAACAGAATCCTATATAGGTCTGGCTGTTATGCAGCGTGCTACGTAGACCAGGCTGAACTTGAACTCAAAGAGATCTACCGACTTCTGGGATTAAGGTATCAAAGCATTTTAGACAGCCTACACTGACTGTTTGTCCATCACAAGCCTCACTACCCTCCAGCAGCTATTTTCACTCATGCCAGGGAAATGCTCAGGGTGGGAGCATTTCCCTGGCACCAGCCCGAGGGTAGTGCAAACAGGCCTTCAGTGATATGAAGGTCTGCTGGAACTGGCACAAACACAGCCCTTTCCTCTCTGGCTCAGACATGAGGGACTGTACCATGCTAACAGTCCTGAAGGGTGGCTGTAATTATTCCAAACACCATTGTTACACCTTCTTTCTCGTTATAGCGGAAAACTTTTTTATGCCACCTGGGAGCTGCCCTCCCGTGCTATCCCTAGTACTGCAATATTAAGTACCCCCCACAGGTTCTTCCTCAGTGGCCCTTCATTCTACCTTTGATCTTAACTGTTAGACCCTAACGCGCTGCAATGCGAAGAAGAGAGAATGGAAGAATGGAAGAAAATAAAGCAGTGATGGCTGTGCACCAACAGCAGCAGTGAGACAGTTGGAGAGGTCCATAAGGTGTCCAGGGCTGCGGTGCAGGAGATAATGGAGGCTGTAAAGAGCTGAAAAGTAGAGACCATGTGCCCTGTTACTGAAAGAGTTCCGGAGAGCTGCCAAGATGTAAAACACAAGCGTCTCAGAAATCCTAGGCCCGAGAGCCACAACATTCAGCTCTGTGGGAGCTAAGGTCCTCAACACCTGAGGCCCTTCAGGAGCGGTAATATCTGTAGGAAGGAACCCTGCTGTTTACTGTTGCTAGCAGCCTAGGATATGTCTGTCAAAAGCCAGAGTCATTGGTAATTAAAGCCCCGAGCAAGAAGCCTCCAACCTGATCATCTACAGCTACAAGTCTGACTAAATATTCTGGACAAACAGGCTCCTGGCTCTCAGGGCTGGAGTGTGAGCCTTTGGTTCTGTCCAGGGCTTAGGCCTTGGTCACTTGAGGACCCAGGACTGCAGCCTGGCACTGGGATTGTTCCTCCTTTCTATCTGGGTGGACCAGAAGGACAACCCCCCCACCCCCACCCCCTCACCCCCACCTGCTTTCGCAACAGACCACATCCCTACCCATCACACAAAGTAAATAAACACCTCGGTGAAAAGAAAACCCAAGGCATGTCCTGAGTGGAAGAAGGTACCTTTCTCATCTCTACATCATGTGCTATCCACCGAATCACTGCCTCAAACACGTATCGTTCATTGCCAACATTCAGCTTCTCAAGAGAGATCACTTCTTTGAGCTTCTGTGGACTCAGCTCCAGGAACTCCTCTGTGCTGCTGACATCCCGGAAGTGAGTCTCCAGGTACTCGGTGGCCAGGTAGTGCACGTGGTGCAGACAATAGTGCAGGGCAAAGTCTCGGATGCCGATGCAGTTCTCGGCGGCAATGCAGCCCTCCAAGAACTCACAGCACAAGGTTTTAAGGTCCGTCAGCAGCAGCAGGTCGGCCGCCTGTACGACATCCTGGATCGTATCTTCATTTAGCCTGATCTGTAAGAGCACCACAGACATTTTAGAGCTGGATGCAGACAAAAGACCCAAACCACTAACCTAGAAGTCTGGCCCACAGGAAATTCCCAACCTTTTTCTTGTATCTTTAAGGATTTACTTTTAATTATGTGTGTGCCCACGAGTGCAGGTGCCCACAGAGGTTGCAGGCATTGGATCTCATTGGAGCTGGAGTTACAGGTAGTTGCAAGATGCCAAAATGGGTGCTGGGAACTGAACTCAGGTCCTCTCAAGGGGTAAGAAAGCATTTGTAACCACTGGGCTATTTTCCCAGTCCCCAGTTCCAATGATCACTAGTAGTGATGGCCCTGTAATAAGAGCTTTAAGGCCTCAAATGACATGCGACCTTCCCTCACAGCACATGTGCCTGACTGACTATCTATCTGACTATCTATCTATCTATCTATCTATCTATCTATCTATCTATCTATCTATCTCTCCGCCCGCTTGCTTGTTTGTTTATTTTAGGCAGGGTTTCTCTGTCTAGTCCTAGCTTTCCCAGAACTTGTTCTGTAGAGCAGGCTGGCCTGGAATTCAGAGATGTACCTGCCTCTACCTCCTAAGTGCTGAGGTTAAAGGCGTGTACCACCGCTGCCCTACTGATGTGTCTGACTCTTATCCTACCTGTCCAAGCTTTTGCTTCCTGTGCCAGCAGGATCCTATTGAGGGAGCCCAGACACGTGCTCACATCTGCAGCTCACACAAAAACCTGACTGAACTTTTGGGAACAGTTAAGTTCTGCTACTTGTGGAAATTGAAATTATCCTCAGATACATCAAGGTTGCTGTCTCCCCAGTGGTATGCCAAGTGGGTGCAAGCCACCAGAGAGGGGCTTTATATCTCCTCAGTGCCAAAGCACTTGGGCCTGCTGGCGGGCTCCGGCAGATTGGCACTCGGACATGGGACTTGTGATACAGGGAATCAGTGAAGGACACCGCGGTTGTTGGCGAGCTCGCATCATTAAGTAGAAAGGGTGAGGTGAGTAAATCCGAGAATAAAAATGGGACAGGGCATTAGCCTAGTGTTTTTTTTTTTGGTATGGAACTTAATTAAAGATAGTCTGTATAAGCAGCAGGAAACTGAGAAAGTTAAACTTTCAGGCTCAGAGAGAAGGAGGTTAGAAAGATGGCAGGCTTTAGGAGAAAATGATATTATACCATAAGCTACTCCAGAGGAGTTATATTTCCCTCATGATGACAGCAATTTCTTGCCAGAAGGAGACTTTGAGGAAGACTTACATCCTAATGAGGTTGCAGAGTTGGAGGAAGAACCAGATCAGTATTATTCTGAGAGATACCCTCCAATTCAGGCTATGCATGTTAAAAAGCGTAAGCCTTGGCAAAAAAGAAATTAAAAGACTGGAATGGGGCTTGGAGGAGATAAACAGAAAAATTGGAGAATTAACTGCTAGAGAAAAAGAGGCTCAATCCCCCACTCCAACTCCATCATTGGTTGCAGGTTTGGACCCTCCTCCTGGGACTGCTACAGTTGCAGTGGCCCAAAAGACAAGGGGACCTTTTCCTTTGTCCACTGTACGGGCAACTGTATCGCCCTTACAAGCTTCTTTACAAGAAGCTAGGCAGAATGGAGAAGATATAACTGAGTTTTATGGTTTTCCAGTTCTGGAGCAACCTGATGGACAGGGTAATATGGCGAGAGTTCATGCTCCTATACCTTTTAAACAATTAAAAGAATTGAAAGCTGCATGCTCCCAAAATGGTCCTACAGCGCCTTTCACTCAGGCTCTGTTGGAGTCCTTGTCTACTGAGGCCCTCTGCTTAGGGGACTGGAAACAGTTAACAAGAACGTGCTTATCAGGAGGAGATAATTTATTATGGAAGTCAGAATTTGCAGAGCATTGTCAAGTTACAGCTGAACTTAATCGAGCTCAGGGAATTCCTATAACTTATGACATGCTTGCTGGAGAAGGAATCTACAGGGAAATAGGACAACAATTGGATTTTGATGTGGCCGTATATGCTCAGGTAAATACCACTGCCCGGAGGGCCTGGAATAAACTTCCACAAGCAGGTAGACAGGTGGAAGATTTGTCTAAAATCTGTCCAGGACCTGTTGAGTTATTTCAAGATTTTGTGGCAAGATTACTGCAAGCAGCAAACAGACTTATAAATGATGAAAAGTCTGGATTATTATTAGTAAAACAATTAGCTTATGAGAATGCTAACAGTGCTTGCCAAGCAGCTTTGAGACTCTTTAGGAAGGAGATATTTCTGATTATATTTGGTTATGTTCTGACATCGGCCGTCTTATACTAAAGAAATAGCTATGGCTGCCACCCTACAAGGAAAAACTATTAAAGAGGCAGCCTCTCAGTTTTTCCAGTAAGAAAGCTAATAGTTAATTCTGCTACAAAGCTTCAATATTCATAAAAATTTAAATTCAACAAATAACACGATGTTTTGTTTGTCTGTCTTGAAGATATAAGTTTACCATATTTAGTAGGTCTTGGTTATAGATTATTGGTCATTGGCTATGTTTAAAATCTGTAACATAAAGTTAACTTACTTAAAACCTAGGGTTAAAACCATTCTAAATAACAAATAGACATTACTCATATCCCAAAATTTAAAAAACTAAAATGTTTTACTACAATTGGTATTTCTTCCATTATAAAGACTAATAACGGTACGGCATATATTAGTCAAGCTTCTCAACATTTTTAAAAATAATAAAACAGGTATGCCATACAATCCTTAAGGCTAAAAAATTATAAAGCCTGCCCATGGATCTCTTAAAAACCAATTGCAAAAAGTAAAAAAGGGGAGAGTCATATCCCCAAATATTAATCATGCTCTCTTTATTTTAAAATTTTTTGAATGTGGACGTACAAGGCCGTTCTGCGGCTGATCAATTGTGGCATCCTAATACCAAAGATAATTATGCCCAAGTAAAATGGAAAGATCTGATTACTGGAATATGGCAGGGCCCCGACCCCACATCAATATGGGGAAGAGGGTATGTTTGTGCTTTTTCCACAGGACACAGAGCCAGGTGGATCCCAGAAAGGTTGGTACGATTTGCAGGAGTTGTTCCCCAGAAGGAGGATGTTCCGGCTGCAGACAATCATAAATGCTGCCCTGACTGAGACCAAAAAGCTGCAGTGGACTTAAGCTCCTGACCCGCTTTTTTTCATTCTGCTCCTGGGAGAAGACGTAATGCAGAGAAACCTCTTATACAATGGACTGGACTTGATTGTTCTGTTAATAAGGACAATTCTCAACAAAATAAAAAAAGAATAAAAAAGAGGACTAACTGTGAAACTTTGGTCTGACTCTGGTTTTCAGCAGACCAAAACAAGCTTACTTCAGAAACTCTTGGGAGGCCCTGTAACTGCCTATGTAAATTCTCCTTTTATTGTTTGGAAATGTTAACAAGATTCAAACTTTAATGTTTCTTACCTTCAATGTAAACTAACAAACTGTATTTGTAAGCTTTCAAATGGTTCTGATTGCTCGATAGCCTTTTACTATGGTTCCTGTGACTATTTCTCAGACTTGGTAATTTACACAAGGAGTCATTTGTTAAGTCACTTTTATGGAGTGTTATTTTGGACTCACCAATAGGAGATGCGCTCCTACTGGTGGCAACTAAAACCTTCCTGAAAGCCTTTTAGAATGTCAAAGCTGATCTGATCTGCACAAGATCAAACCCCAGGGTCTACCCTAGCAGAGGTTGGTAGTCAGAAACAAGTAATGTTTCTCTGGGATATGTTCAAACCAAGACAGCATGAATGATGGAACTCATGTATCGATGACAGGTAAGAATACATCTTATGAGGGAAACAACCTAAGACAGGCACAATCTTCTGCTCCATGACTCTTAAGTTATGGCCAATTTTAAAAAAATAAAAAAGGGAGACCTGTCGGGAGCCGTGGCTCTGGCAGCTGCTTTGATATTTAAATCTCAGCGGAAAGACTGCTTTTACCAGGCCTTCACTGAAGTCGGGAAGAATTTGCAAGTCCATCTCCTGTTTGTGACAGCAGGTGGGATAGCTTGTGAAGATCACACCTCTTGCTTCACCTCCTTGTGAATTTAACCCATTGTTCTGAGCTGTTTTTACTCTGGCTTAAAAGCTCTCTGCAAAAAAGTCAGGCGGCTTCTGGCTGGTCGAGTCCGGAGCCTCTGAGAAAAGTCCCGTGTGTGTTGTGTGTTAGTTTATTAATTTTAATCCTCACTCCCAACTCAAGAACCGTTCGGCTCTGCTGTCGGGCTCCAGCAGCTACAGGCATCTGAGAGGAGCAAGTCTCAAATGAGAAAATGTTTCTATAAGATCAGGCTGTAGGAGAGGCTGTAGGGCATTTTCTTAATTAGTAATTAATGGAGGAGGGCCCAGTCATTGTGGGTGGGACTGTTCTTGGGTTGGTGATCTTGGGTTATATAAGAAAGCATGCAGCCAGTGTAGGTAGGGCAAGCATATAATCCCAGCACTCAGGGGGTAGAGACAGGGAGATCTCTGTGAGTTTGAGGCCAGCCTGGTCTACAAATAGAGTCCAGGACAATCAAGGCTACAAAGAGAAACAATATCAATAACAAAAACAAACAAACAAATAAAAGCTCAAACCAAAACAAATTAAAAAGAAAGAAAGAGAAAGAAAGGAAGCAGGTTGAGCAAACTAGTAAGCAGCAGCACCCCTTCACGGCCTCTGCATCAGCTCCTGCCTCCAGGTTCCTACCTTGAGTTCCTGTCCTGACTTCCCTTGATGATGAACAGTGCTGTGGAAGTGTGAGCTGAATAAACCCTTTCCTCATGGTGTTTCATCACAGCCATGGTGATACTAACTAAGACAGTGTGTGTGTGTGTGTGTGTGTGTGTGTGTATGTGTCTGTGCGCATGCACGCCAGGATATTGGGGAGGTCAGATGGCAGCTTTCAGGAACTGATGGTCTCTTTCTACCATGTGGGTTTGGAAGAATGAACTAGGTCGTCAAGTTTTGGCAGCGAAGCCTTTACCCATGGAACCATCTCTCCAGGCCTCCTCCTCTTCTTTTATTTCTGTTTTTGTGGTACTCTGGATGGAACCCAGATCTCACACACTCCAGGCAACGGCTCTACCACTCAGCCACACCCCCAGACTCAACAGTATTAAATTTGGCCAGAAGACAGGAAACAACTGCAGGCTATCCAAATACAAACCTGTGAAAGAACACCAAATCACATCTCAATTAAACCAAACAGCTACTTCAGCAGTTCGTCAAAGCTTAGGTTGCCACCTGGACTCTAAAGTTTAAACTGGGACAATTCCTAGCAGTCAACCTGCAGACGGTCCCCAGGCTGCAGCTGGAGCCCGCACAGAGCAGGCCCTCAGAGGCCTGGCGCTTGCTGTGCTCACAACTGCCCAGACTGCTGGACCAGGCTGCTCATATGTCTCATGTGTGCCTGCTGTGCGGCGTTTCTAGGATTTCCTGGGGCTGTGCCAAAACGGTTCTGACTTCAGTCACCTCAGCAATCACACATGTTGTGTTTGCTACACAGTGTGTTTACACACTGCCTTGTGTTTAGGAGAGAGTTTCCCTACACTGGTTCACAATACTATACCACAATACTCACACCACACACTTCGCCGGGACTAGAATCCCAGAGTGTGTGGACAGAACGAATGCATTTAGGAATGACAGGCAACACCCCCCCCCAAGCACTTAGAAAACTAGTGGGAAAAACAGACCTTTCAGAAGAGGGGAGGCAGGGAAACAGCAGTGATGAAGGGTTCAATGGGGAAGGCAAGGGGCAAGATCTTGGAGAAAACAAGGTAGAACACACTTTCACAGACCTAAGTGTGTTACACACTGCTCTGCTCTCTGGCCAATATATCCACCAGACTCATGACTCTTCCTTTCTGTTTGTTTTTTCTTTTAAAGATTCATTTTTATTTGTGTATGCATGTGTGAGCATGTATGTGCACACACGGACGCCAGAACAATTGTGAGCAACTTGCTGTGGGTGCTGGGGACTGGAAGAGTAGCAAGCTCTTTCAGCTACTGAACCATCTCTGTATCCTCTAGAGACCTAAGAGTCCTATGCTAGAACTTAAATTACATGAAGAGGACAGGGCCGGGGAGGCAAAGAAACAAAAGCAATCTAGGCGCTTACCATTTCTTGCCTGGGTATAATCACATCTCCAGAAACAATGTGGCACAGAGAGTGAGGAAAAGCAGGAAGAGGGGGCAGGGAGAGGGTGAAGCACAGGGCTGCCAGCATTCAAGTACTATAATAAGGGTAGCCTCCAATGCGAGGTGCCTTTCATGGCAATGCCCCACAAGAAACTGTCTCTACAGAACAAGCCTCAGTGCCAGAGAAGCTGCTCTTTCCATGCAGACAGAGAGAGAGAGAGAGAGAGAGAGAGAAAGAGAGAGGTCTCGACAGGGTGGATGTTGTGCAAGATCAGAGTCAAGATGTGGAGGCAGGAGTCGGCGCTGCAGGGTGCACCATGTTCTTTGAATCTGAGCCTGGAGGGTGGAGCTCAGAAGAGCATAAATTGGGATTTGGTCTATGATTTAACTGTGTTGCTCCTTTAGGGATGGAATCTGAAAGAGCATGTGTGTGGGGCCATCGCCAGGGAGGAGCCAATAGATTCCCTGAGGGCAGAAGATGACACGGCAGTGCCGCTCTGAAAGCAGGGAAGTCTCTGCTAGGTCTGGCCCCTGGGTCTCACCATACCTGCCCACTGAAGATGTAATCCAGGATCTCTCTCATAACCATTACCGATATCCCTTCAAGTTCAATCTTATAAGTGGATCCGTCATCTTTTGGAGGATTATAGTTTAACTTTGTCCTAAGAAAGGGAAAAAAAGTAAGATTTCTATGAACCAACAGAAATAACTACAGATATTTATGCACTAAACACTATAGTATAACACATACTGAGTAGCAAATAGACCTCCGCTTAGGGAAGTCAGCTGCAGCTCAACATACACAGCTTTAGCTAAAAACCCAGCCCCAGCTTGCAAAGGCTATTTAGTTTTTGTTGTTGTTTGTTTCTCTGTGTAGCCCTGGCTATCCTGGACTAGCTTTGTAGACCAGGCTGGCCTCAAATTCACAGAGATCTGCCTGCCTCTGCCTCCCCGAGTACTGGGATTACAGGTGTGTGCCACCATGCCTGGCTAAAACTTGATCTTTTTAAGGATTTATTTTTAATTAGGTGCCTGTGTGTCTACACGAGTGCAGGTGCTTATGGAGGCCAGAAGCACGAGATTCTGCAGGAGCCAGAGCTATCGGCAGTTATGAGCCAATTGACATGGGTACCAGAAACTAAACTGTGGTCCTCTGCAGAGAGCCAGGGATACGACACAATGAGACACTGTCTTTAAAAAAGCCAGAGGTGTCAGAGAGAGGGCTCCATGCAGCGTGGTCAAGAGGATGCTCTTTCAGAGGACCCAGGTTCGATCCCCACCACCCACAGGGCATCTCATAACCATCTGTAAGTCCAGTTCCAGGCGATCGGACATGCTCTCCTGGTGCATGTGACATAGAGACATACATTCAGACAAACATCTATACACAGAAGAGAAAAATAAAATCTCAAAAAAGAGGAAAAGTTAGAAAATAGGAGAGGTCCATTAAGAAAATTGGAGTGGGCCTCTTAAGGCTTTTTTTTTTTTTTTTCTTAATAGGGGTAATGGTAGGCATTTCAGGAGAGGGCAGAGGAAACAACAACAGGGAAACAAGACTGCAGGACAAGAGTGTGCTTCCTGGTCCTGAGGTATTACCTGGGAGGCTCCCACAGGGGCAGCTCTCTCCTGGCTCAGGCTCCTATACACCCTTCCTCCTTTTAAGTTGAGTTTCTTGGGCATTTTATCACAGCAATTGAAATGTAACTAGCACAATGCTCAGCAAGCACTTGTTAAACATCATGAACTGTTAGTAGCTGTTAGTAGCTCAAGGACTGCCAGAAAAAAAAAAAAAAAAGCCGGCCACCAGATGACTTCTGGTATGACAGACATGAGGGAGAATCAGATAGGCAGGACTCTGTAATAGTTTGATCCGATGCTCTCTTCTGACCTCTGCATACACGCAGGCCAAACACACATAAAAAGCTATGGACGCAGGCTGGACACAACAGTTACAAACAGTAGCCACAAGGGGCTTCTCTCCTCCGCCGATGCAAACACTCATTTCTAATAAAGGAAACATCTTCAGCAGAACACAATGGAATGCAATGTCTAAGGAGTCAGTAGTCAGGATGCTGCAGTTTGGGGTGACTCATGGCATGATTCACACGCTTGCAATGATTCGTGTCACCTAGAACTCTGGCTATAAGGCAGGCCCTCTGAGGCGTTTGGAGACAGCCTGTGCCAGCACTTTTTACTCCAAACTAGTCATTTGTTCTTTTGGAGAATTTGTTTTACAGATGACACCCCTCCCCTCCTTGGCGCATACCCCCTCCTTTTTCTGTTTTTGTGAGCGTCAGAGACCACATAAAAGTGGTTTAGGGTAGTGAAAGTCCTGTATGTGATGTTGTACTAGCAAACACGCATTTTGGCACATTTGTGTGAAGGCACAGAATATACACCCAGCAGAGGGACCTAACATGAGCCATGGTCTGCGTCACTGTGCAGGGTCAACACAGGATTGCTAAGATGCAGGGGACACACCATTCTAGTGGGGACACGAGGTTGCAGGCAGCAGGCGCTGTGTATGTGTGGGCTCAGGGAGGTCTGGCATTCTCTGTACCTTCCTCTCACTTCTGCTGTGAACTTACAATTGCCCTAAGACATACAGTCTGGTTAAAGATTGTATCTGAGTATAGCTTTGTGTACATAAGTGCAGTGTTCACAGAGGCCAGAAGAGGGCACTAGATTCCTGGTACTTGAATACAGGTTGTGAGCTGCCTGATTTGGGAGCTAGGAACCTCACTCAGGTCCTCTGGAATGGAACTACATACTCTTAACCACTGTGTCACTTCTCTAGTCCCTAACATCTGTTTTGTGTTGTTTCCACCCTGGAGACCCTTTGCAGTTCCCACTTGAGGCAATTATCATTTGTTGCTAACACTTCAATCAACAGATGATACCTGCTGACAAACACTATTGATGGCACTGTCTTCAGGAGGAGCACAGCAGCTAGCCTCACAGTTCCTCCCATGGACACGGGAGAAACGCATTCACACTGAGGTCCTAAGAGTGACAGAGCTCTCAGAGGAAAGCCTAAGCAAGAGGGTGCTGTGCACTGGGAACCAGAGACCCAGGCAAGTCCTTCCATGTCCAGGTGAGCCGGAGTGTTTCCATGTAGTCAAGCCACCATAGGGGACTGAGAATAAGCGACAGGGTCTGGGGAGCTGTCCCTGTGGCATTAATGAGAAGGAGGGAAAGGACCTGCACCAGGCTCCTGGCCTCTGAATGTCATTTTTACAAAACATTTATTTATGAGTGCACGTGAATCTGTGTGTGGCCAAGTGCATGTACATATAGGTGCCTGTGGGGTACAGAAGAGGGTGCTGGGTCCCCTAGAACTAGAGGTACAGGCAGGTACAGGCAGCAGTCAGTCACTGGACATGAGTGTTGGGTATGAGTTCAAGTCCTGTGTAAGAGCAAGTGCTCTTAACCACTGCACTGTCTCTGGAGCTCCCAAATGGCCCGTACTTCATGTATGTATGTATGTATGTATGTATGTATGTATGTATGTATGTATGTATGTATGTATGCATGTATGTATATATATATATATATATATATATATATATTTTTTTTTTTTTTTTTTTTCTGAGACAGGGTCTCTCTATGGAGCCCTGGATGTTCTGGACTCCCTTTGTAGAACAGGCTGGCCTTGAACTCACAGAGAACTGTCTGCCTCTGCCTTCCTGAGTACTGGGATTAAAGGAGTATGCCACCAAGAGAGGCCCAAAGAGCATTCTAAAGGGTGGTACCCCAACATTTTGTGTGCTCTCCCCTTCACTCTTCTTCTTCTTATTATTATTTTGAGGCTCTTATTATTTTTTTCTCTGTGTAGCCTTGGCTGTCCTGGACTCGCTTTGTAGACCAGGCTGACCTTGAACTCACAGAGATCCACCTGTCCCTGCCTCCCTGAGTGCTGGATTAATGCCGTGTCCTGCCACCGCTGCCTGGATGCCCACTTCACTCTGATTCTCCTCCATTTCTCCTTCTTACCCAAGAAGTATGGTGTTTATTTACTTTCACATTTTTCCCTCACACAGGTCCTGTGAGTCACGATTTGAATGACTTTATGAGTAGTTCCCTGGGCTGACCTCCCAGAACCTTCTGGAGAGCCGATAAAGACAATCAGATATCTGGGTCTCATCCTAGACCAACTGGGTCAGCCTCGGGTTGCATAGTAAGACATACCCTGGCTCATCTGGCTCGTCCCTGCTGCCTGCAATGCTTCTTGGGCCCCTCCCCCTTATCTGCATGCTCTGGTTCCTTCCAGCTGGGTGTGCTCCCACACCCACAGTGGCAGCCTGCACACCCACCACCACCGTCTCATCCCTGCTTTTATTTGTCTTCCTTCACAGGACCGTTCATCTCCTAACACACTGTACCTGCCTCCTGTCAAATGCCATGAAAACAGAACTGTTTGTATTTCCCTGTGATGCTGACACAGGCAACCCCACAGGACTAAACCGTTTAGATGATGCGAGCCCCTCAGAATGCCCGTGAGGGACCACCTAGCTTAGGCTGAGGCGGGAAGAGCCTGACTCTGGGCGACACAATTCCACGGGCGCTGGCATTCCTCTCTCTGCTCCCTGCCTGTGGATGTCACGTGACCAGCGGCCTCACACGCCTGCCACCCTGTGCCTTCCCTCCCATGACTGACTGTAACTTCAAACTGGGAATTCGAGTAAACCTTCCTTTCCTCAAGCTGCTCTGCCAGGGACTTCTATTACAGCAACAGGAAAACTAACCAACACCAATATTCCTGGCACTTGACACACAATAACTTGACAAGAAGCACACAGCCCGGTCGGGAACTGATGGATTCCAACCCCACAGATTCAGTGACTGAAATCAAATGACCACAGCTGTTCGGACAGCGCATGAGTGGCCGGCAGAGCAGCCGAGAGCATTCGCCAGCATATGTGTTGGCATGCCCACAGGGCACTTCCTCCCACAGCAGGCCAGGCAGGCTGTACAGTCTAATGTCCCAATACTTAACTATCAGCCCTCAGTGGGAGCCGCACTGTAAGGCTGGTCGAGAGGGAAGCTTTCTGTTTGTGAGTTGGCTAGCCATATCTCATCTTTCTGTGCTTCAATGTCCCATGCCCACCATCCCCAGTGGCCTGCTGAGAAACCTGAACTTCTAATACAATACAGACTCCAAAAGGTTTCTAGAGCCCAGATCCCAGCTTGGGGCTGTCCTGAAGATGAAAAGGCCCTCAGGGTCCTGCAGAGGTTCAGAAGCAGCTCTTGCCACAGCTGTGGTCCCACCTCCCCCAACACCCTCCCCACGCTGTGACTCACGCACAAGGGTGCTTTTTGCTTTCCTCAGAGAGCCTGACTTCCGCTGAGAAGAAGGAAACAGGACTGGCTGTACTCTCATGCCACACAAGAAGATAAATGTTTGTCTTTGAGAGTCAGTGACTTGAAGGAAAATGGAATTTGCCTTCGGCCATATTTTCTGAGAAGAGACTGAATTCAGTATGTATTACAGCTTAATAAAGGGTTGGGGAAAGGGCTGTTGATAAGGAGTCCACCATGGAAGCATGAGAACCCAAGCCTGGACCCGCAGCACCTATGTAAAAGCCATGTGTGGTTATGCATCTGTGACCCTTGTGCTGGGGGTTGGGGGTGGAGACAGCTAATAGGTGGGTCTGAGAGAACT